CCGACGACTTATCGTCGCTATATAGTCTCAGGTCAAAAAAATTTAGTCAACTCTATACCGACGACATGTCGTCTGTATAGATGACACAGTGTCGACGACTTAAGTCATCTATATAGATGTCGTCAGCATAGGACTTAATTCTTGTAGTGATTTAACATACCAAGATAGAGGCGGAGCGATTTTACCTCAACAATGGCTAGATCCCTCCCTCACCTTTCACTTAACTTATTCTTCTATCCAATAAACTTTATCTTACTACACAATCTTGCTTATTGCTTCAATTTAAAAGTTACCTACAATCTTCTTCTTATTTTCCTCTTTCAAACACACACACACACACTTTACAGTTTACACGATTCTACTTAGCCCCCAATATTTACCAATTTTTCACAATGGTCCTCTAACTTGGTAATCTTTACAAACGTTATTTTTTTTCAAAAATAATTCTCATCTGATTTCTTCAAGTGACTCGCTAGTTCCTTCATTCCTTCATCGTCTCCCTGCTTCCATCCACCCCTCCATTTTGCATCTTTTTGTTCTCTCTGATCTTATGTGTATACTCTAATGAAGGATAACACCGGTATTCATGTTTATTGGATATAGTTCAATACATATCGATTGAAGGCAAACGGGCAACAAGCTGCGTCACTAGCCCTTTCTGAATGGCAAAACCAATTCTTTTGAAAACAACATTTGTGGATCTAGGAGATATGCCATTAGAATGCATAACCCGTTGGACTCTATTGAGGAGCTCCACCGCCTATGGTGTGAGAAAACCAAATGTATCGAATGCAAAAGGTACAAACACATGTTGATTTTCTATACATGCATTCTCGTGCTTTACCACTTTACACGCGGCGGCTTTCAAAGCGGTATGTCTAGCTGTGAAACCCCCGCTCCCCAAACCAACGAGAGGAGAGACCCCAGTAAGATCCACACACGCATGCTTCCCTCCTATCCATCCAAAGACCAAAATGTTAGTCGGTCTAAGTGTGGACCTTCCATCCTGCGGGTCCGTCAAAAAATTCACTGGCGCTTCTGCCGTAATATAGAACGACGTCGTTCCATCCTTTTTGTGATAATTCTACTGCAATCGTTGTTTACGCTTCTGCCGATCCAATTTGTGCGGGGATTTCAATCAAACATTGATTCTAAGCTGAGGTTGTTGGCTAGTTTTCTCAAGTGCTATTTCACAATTGAGGAATTTCGATCAAGAAAACAGCAGAACCTCAAAATTAAATTCGGTGATTAAGGGCAGGTCTAATTCTGTTTTTCTCCTTTAAATTGCCTACGTTTTGGATTATTTTTTTTTCAGAATCGCTGTACGAATTGTTTTCAAATAGTGTTGGAGTTTTCAGTGTCTCACACTCACACCAACTGTTTGATTAAAGTCCTGATAAAAGAAATCAATAGTGCTTTTGGATCAAGAACAGTGGCTGATGAGTTTTTTTTTTTTTTTACAAGGCCATGCCCCACAGATTTCTTTGTTCGTTTTGAAGAGTTACCAAGTCTCAGTTTTTTTAATTAATCATCTTGATTCAACTAATTTTTTATTTGTTTATAGTGTAACCCATGGACATTTTATCATACAAAAAGTTAATTTTTTCTTAGGATCTAAGATGATACTGTGGGCACCATAAGTTCTCTGCTATAGTTCAACATTATAGGGTTTCTCCATTAATTTGGTTTATGTTCATCATCTAGGTTTCAACATTATAGGATTTGTTTCTGATAGTCATCATTGCATGGGTTTCTGATAGTTATTGGAATTTGAGGGTTCATCGTGACAATAATGGGAATGGTTCTTTACAGTGAAGCAAAGAAGAGGTCGAAAGTTACAGCTCATTGACAACCAAAAAGATAACACTTATGTGGTATCTCTGTTCATTTGTTCTTCATCTGATGCCATTAAATTTTCAATGAGTTTATGATTGACAAAATGATCTTAAGAGAATTTGGGATAAAGAAAAAGCAAAGAACATAATTCCATTTGATTGCATCAACTATATGATTGGTTGAATTCACATAGGGGAAATAGGGTTGTGTTTTGTTCCTGTTTCTTTTCCATAGTTATGCTTTATTGCAATTTGCATAGTTGTACTTGACAGGGGAGGAAAAACAATCTCCTTTTTTTTTTCTTTCTATTATAACACGGATTTTACATGAACGTTTCTTCAAATTATACCATTTTGTTGTTATTTGTTGGAGGATATAGAACTAAACACACATATTGATGTTTACCAATAATATTAATAGCAATACTTGATCGTTTTTGCACGTAATGGCATCGTTCTTGCATTCATTTACCATGACTAGCAACACACTTCATCTGTTATCTATACTTGCAACATACTTAGACTTAAACATGTTTTGTCTAAGTATGTTGAATTTCATTCTATGGCATTTCCTACCACCATTGTCTCACTTTATGGCATGTCTGTGCTACCTGTGGTTATTTTTTATGTTTCAAACTAACAAATTTTTTTATTAAAGCATTGTACTTAAAAAGTACAATGTTATAAATGGGTATACTTTGAAAGTAGACACCCAATTACAGCATTGTACTTTCAAATGCAATGTTTTAATAAGAAAAAAAATATGAAAATGAAAGTTTAAATAGCATGGTTTTCCATAATTAATTGTTTTTATAAAATGGTTTTGCAGAGTTTAATTGTATTTGAAAATAGTTTAAAAACGTTTTATTAAAAAAAATCTTATTAAAGCATTGCATTTGAAATCTGTTTCTTTTTAATTTTTTTTTAAAACTTCATATAGTATTGATTTGAATTTTGATATCTGGTTCTTTTCTGTTTTTTTATTAAAACCTGTTTTTTCGATTACAACATTGCACTTTAGTTTTAGTAAAACTTTGGAAACTCCACTCAATTATTAGTGGTTTTATGGCATTGCTATAGTTTCGTGTATTGTTTATAATACCAGGTTCTAACAGGATTTATGAAACAAAAGATCAATGCTATAATAGACACTCCGATAAAAGCATCTTCTTATATTTTTAAGCGTGATTCGATAAAACTATAAGATATATGTAAGTGATTGCATATCATTTCTGAGTTATAGCATTGTGCTTTCAATGTACAATGGTTAAAAACATTTTATATGTCCTAATCATTTTCAACCTTAAAAAAGAAATATAAAACAAGTAACACATACAAATACGACTAGCTAGATTAATTTTCAAATATATATACTTCCATACAAAATTAGTGAGATTTAAAACTTAATAAAAAAAAAAGGAAACTTTTTTCTTTATATGTATAATACAATTTAACAAAACATAATAATTAAAGGAAACTTCTTTTTTTATATGTATCTCCCTATCTCCCTATTCTAATAAAAGAATAGGTTTATTCTCATATTGACAAGTGTCATACTATTAGAACTTCCCATTAATATTTATATTATCTATCAATACCACTTGTCAACATATTAATTATCCATTTCAAATTTCAAATTTTAAATTTTCATTCTAATTACATTAAATTAATAATTGATTATCCATTTTAAATTTCAAATTTTAAATTTCATACTCTAATTACATTAAATTAATAATTGATTCTCCATTTTAAATTTCAAATTTTAAATTTTTTTCTCGCTTTAATTATATTAAGTTAATAACATTAGATTAAAAAATAAAATAAAATTAATACAGATTGTAAGGTGATATAACTTCACGAATATAATTTTATATAACTAAAAAAATATCTCTTAAGTAATAATTTATTTAAAATAATTGATTAATATTTTTGAATTTTTAATATGACATTTTAATTAATTTTATAACCGTGGTTCTCCTGTATTATAAACTACTAATATAATAATACAGTATAACAAAACATTTTCCAGTTGCTTTATTTGCCCAATATCCCAGTCTCATACACACATCGTCACATACACCGACACACACATGCCATATTTGACGTCCAGCGCATTCTGTGGCTATCGTTTCATCACCACCACCGTGCTGCTCTTACTTTCCGTTCAATTCCACGACCACCTTCTGTTCAGCAGCAACAACACCACCACTGAATCGACTCCATCTTCTTCATCTTCACTGTTATTGCTGCATCTCTTCGATCCATCATCATCATCATCATCATCATGACAGGTTTATTTTCTGCATAGTCAGTCTGCCCTCTCTCTTCAACGTCTTCGATTGATTAATTTTCCTTTTGATTGCAATCCTCTGTTTTGACTTGTTTGAATTTGATAGAGGCGAAAATCTAAGCCCAAATCAAGGTTTAGTGAACAAACTTTAATTGATCACAATATGTTCAATAAAGATTTCTCGCAGAAATTATGGGCTAACACTTACCAGTGAGAATTTAACCTTAGGTTATTGGTTTTTGCATTCTTCTGTCAAATGGATCGACGATAAGTTGCTAGAAGGATTGCCCACAAGTGAAATGAGATTTATTTGAGGATGATGCTTGTGGATTTGCAACTCATATGAATGAGATGAAATAATTGAGTTAATTAAGAGTAAATTTAGGTAGCACAATTGGAACAATCACAAGTATTTGTAGGAAAATACTGATCATCAGTTCACTACTACAAAAAAGAGCATTACCCAAAACCGTCGGTAATCCGTCGCTAAAGCTCTTTACCGACGGAATTGTAACACAACAAAATCCGTCGCTATATTCTTGTCGCTAATTGTTTGTAACGGGTTTCCGACGGCTCTGGCTAATTTTTAGTGACGGATTTTTCTGTCGGAAATAGTAACTGATCACCAACATAATATATTTTGCAACGGGTTACCGACGGAATTTGTTTGCAACGGATTACCGACGGAAAAATTTACTAACGGAATATGAAACAACTTACTAACAGATTACCGACGGAATTACGAAATGACTACAATTTTTTTTTGTAACAGATTAGCGACGGATTTTGGCATTATAAAAAAATTTATAAATTAATGAAGAAATTAAAAACAAAAAATAATTACATATTCAACACAAATTTTTTAAACATACATTAAATCTATATTAACCACCAAATATAAAAGTAAATCCATAAATTTCAATCATTTTAAATCTATAACTCCATATTGTCAAATACCAAAAATTTCAATCCATATTGTCAAATATTGTCAACAACCAATAGAGAATTCTTTCTCGTGGATTCCACATCTATCATTGAGAGTTGTTAGCTAGAGAGATGTTTATATATTGTCAAATACCATAAATGCCCTCAAATATTACCTTTTTATCTTCCGGTGAACTGCTTCAAAAGATCATTCATTTTTCCAAGAAGACGGCTTTCCATGTCCTCTCGTAACTTCACCTCACTATCAAAATTGGCTTCTATTTCCTCCCGTTTCTTCACTTCTCGTTCCAACATGCTCTCTAATTCATTTATCTAAAATATGGTCCAACAAACATATAATTAAGGTGAACAACAAACATATAATTAAGGTGTATAAAATAGAGAAGGGAATAGCAACATACTTTACTATTTTTATCATAATATAGACACATACCTTCTTTTGATATAAGGCATAATCATGGGATGATGAGCCACACTCGTAAGATGTCCCCGACACGACGTTGCCCGGATCTGATGATCCTACCCCATAAACTCGCCCCTTCTTTCTCCCGTCAACACAATGCTCCCATATTTCAACATCACCCAACGGATGTTGACTAGGGTCGGGGCCATATTTCTCACACATTGCCTTCTCATATTTGTCCTACAATTTACCAAAACATAAAAATTGTTACTACTCTAAACACTTGAAAAATAATTAAATCTTAAATCTAGAAAGGATAAAGATAACTTACAAATACGGTCCAAGACTTCTCATTAACCCAGTGCTCAGGTTGGCTCCCAATCAACTGATAAGCCTCAAGAACTTCTAGTTTACAGCAGGAGGAGTAGAAAGGTCAATAAATAATAAAGCAGCTTTGGAGTGTGGTGAAGTGTCTGTTTTACCCTTTTGCTTTATCCTTCTGTTTCCGTTATTCCTTCCCTTCAGGTGGTTATGACCGTAGCACTAATTTTGTTGTACTACTCTCGGATATATTTCTCCAAGTATCAGTGTCCCATATCTGTGTAGTAATAAATACAAGTTATTTTATGATAAAATAGAAAGCCATGATTATTATAAGAAATTTATTGTAGTATATCACTTTACCGTGCACAGAGCCTACCTACCATACGTCAGATGTGATCCAAGTAGGCGGAAAGCCATGAGAAGTCATAAGTCTCCCCTGGTGGGAAGACATGACCAGCCCTTTTGGCTGTAGATTTTTGTCCTACCCAAAAAGGTTACAATCTCTTGTTGTAGAAATATTCTTCAGTCTCATATAATATCGAGTTTCTGTTTATGGGCATTTTTGTAATTTGCTTTTTGTTTATTTGATTTCAGCTCCCAAAAATATTTGCAGGCGATATCCATAAAAAGAATTAAGGTGAACAATTATATATAGTTGTTTTTCTTTTACTTAATCTGCATATAATGACTTAGTGAAATATACCTTTCTTTCTTGAATTGAAATTTGCATTGTGTTTGTGTAATGGAGAAAAGTAGAAGTATTTTAAGAAAATGAAGTTCTGCCTAGTGTGATTAAACTATTAGTATTTAGTAGAAACAAATACCAAATAAGGAGACCAACAAAGAGATGAAGGAACTTTTGGTACAGGAGAACCTACAACATGATGGTAAGATTCAACTATAGGTCTACAACAATAAATAGACATATTTGTTGGTTATTTGCATCATGGATATTATAATAGAGGGCACTATCAACATTGACTTTCAGGGGCATATTAGTCAATATGTTAATGGCATATATCCTCTCAGAATGTGAGACCAGAAGTGATCATGCCCTAAGATGATCATATAGTCATAACTCATAAGTCGTTTGCATTCCAAACCTCTTTCAAAGCTTTAGAAAACTAAACATGTTCTCCTTATTAATTGAATATTTAATTGAAACTAAATATTTATCCTATCTTTTTAAGGCACTTTTGTATGACCATTATACCCCCTCCAGCAGAAAGGATCACATGCCATCTAACTATGCAATCCCATTTTCACATTGTGAAAACAGGGGACCTACAAAGTTGGGAACACGAGTTTATTTTACTACACTTAACTAAGCATCAGGTCCCTCACCTCATTTCCTTTGGGAATTAAGCCCTACAATTCTTAAGACTTAATAAGACTCCAATATCATAATTTTGGCCTCTGAAAGTTGGATGAAGAATTTATAGCTATCTCATATAAGTTCACAACGTAACAATTTTGTTAGGTTTGTTTATCTTTAATTGAATAAACTAACATAAATGATCAAACGGTGACAAAAATACTAAGGGCATAACAATTTGTGATATATAAAATGTGAATCATCTTAATCATGTAATAGAAAAAATAAGTTAGGGTTTTTTGTACCAAAACTTGAGTGAAAAAAAGCTGAAATCGTTGTCGTTGGTGGCGGCGACAAGAGACTGAGGCGATGCTGGTTGTCGTTGGTGGTTTGCAGGTCGGACAGGCAGTAGGAGGGAGAAGTATGTTGCGTCGACGACTTTGGAGGAGCTGGAGGGCTTTGCTTCCGACGGCGATGGCGGAGGCGATGTCGTTGGCGGAGGCAGTCGCCGGTTGGTTGCAGATCGGAGATGCTGGGAAGAGCTAGAAATCGCAGATCGGGGAAAGAGAAGAGGGAAAGTAAGATTAGGGCAACGCGTGATCTTATTTTTAGTTCAGATAACATATTTACGAAAGTGCCCCAAGTATTTAAAAAATAAAAAAAAGAAAATTGAATTTCACTAACGGATTTCCGACGGAATTTCAAATTTGTTGATTTTCGTCGGTAAACCGTCGGTACACTGTAACGGATTACCGACCAATTTCATTCTGTCGCAAAAACGTTGCAAAACCGTCGCTAATATCCTAATAATTCATCTGTTGGAAATCCGTCGGACATCCGTTGCTTTTTCCGACGGATTTTTTTCCGTCGCTATTGCTCTGTTTTCTAGTAGTGGTTATATTATGTTTGGGTTTAATTGTGAATGGGAATCAAGGTGAGTTTTGGAGTTGTTTTATTAAATCTTAGGCACATGTTGATATTCCTAGGTGTAGGCGTTTAGCTTCATTCTTGCATTTGTTCACCTTGAATTTGAACACACAAAAGTCTTTTGCATATTTTTTCAATAAAACAAATATTCCATCTTGTTGTTTCAATCTATCTTGAATTCGACCAGTTCTATTTGTTTGCTATGTGAATTGGGTTTCTGAGACATTTAGTGGTAGGCAAATTGAAACAGACCCTGTCCCTATAGATCAGGTTGGACACATAAGGATGTTGATGCCTGAACCATTTAGGATTGTTTGGTCTGGTTTTTGTGGTGAGGTTTGTTAGCCATTTATCAAGGTTTATTTCATTAATTTGTATAGAATTCAAAAGGCATTGCCATGGACTTGTACATTCACACTCTTACCAATAAATCAAAACTACAAGTATGTGACAGTAACATGTACGTCAGTTGAGTTGAGTGGCACACTGCAAAGATCACCCAAACCCATTACCGGAGAAAAGATTGAGTACTGATAAAACTAAAACTAAAACAGAGAAAATGGTTGAGTACTGCAATAGTAGAACTAAAACAAGGACATGAATACCATCGTGCTCAAAGGCTGATATCAAATGGTTGAACTTATCGTAACTTATCTCCTATGATTCTTATTGTTGTCCTTGAAATGAAGCAAACATGATCTTAATTTGCAGTCCAATGCAAGAGTTCAGAACCATAATTCGTGAGACCTGAATTAAAAGACCATTAATGCATAGGAAAAAGAGGTTATAGGCAACAAGGACGACATGAAAATAGAATTTACCCAAATGAACTCTTGAAATTATCTCTTTTGCATTCCTGCAAAAAAAAACATATAGTAAATAAAATATAGAGGTGAAAATACAGAGAATTTGGTTGCGGCTTTTGACATTATATAACAAAATCGCACATGACATCTTCAAATGAAATGTAGTTTATAAGAATATGTACCTCTTGTTTCATCTTTATAAAGGAGTTGATGTCTTCCTTTACATAAAATGAGCCAAAACCTCTTTCGATTCCTATTAGCTCCGGAGTAGAAGAATTTCTCGTGGTGAAAGTCGTTATTGTTGGGCATTTACTGATGGACAAAGTATCCAATAACGGGAATGAAAAATCCGCCTTCCCTATGCAAAACCCCACCTTAAGACATGGAAGATTATAAAGTTCTAAGTACTTGAGATGAGGGAACACAATCTCATTCATTTTTCCATCAGATTCCTATTCTTCTACAAAATTATTTCCGTCCTGAACAAATACCTCCTCCATAATCTGGCATTGGCAATGACTTATTTGTAGCTCTAGGAGTTGCAATAGACTACCAACCATGCATGGAACTACTAAAAACATGTTTTAACTTACGACATCCTTTAATAAAGAGTCTTGTTAGGTTTGGAAACCCAAATAATGTCCATCGATTACTCTTCCACATACACCTGAGACATGGAAGTTTTTAAAGTTCTAAGGACTCTTGAGGAGGTAACACAATCAGACAATCTCATTCATTTTTCCATTATATTTCTCCTCCTCATCTTCTACAAATATATTTCCATCCTGAACAAATACCTCCACCATATTCTCACAATCAATTATTTGTAGCTCTTGGAGTTGTAATAGATTACCAACCATGGAACTACTAAAAACATGTTCTAACCTTGAGCATTTAATAATTTCAACTCTTGTAAGGTTTGGAAACTCAAATACCGTACACCGATTGCTCGTCCATATATGCCTGAGAGATAATAGCCGCTCTAACTTCACTTGTGTTAGGTTTGGAAGTCTGACCAGAGTTGTTTGTGATTCATCAAAACCACTGTTTAACGCTTCAAATACCTCCTCTGCCTTTCCACAAAAGCTTACCTGTCCAGCTTTTGCAGTTGTAGCAATTCACTCGATGGAATAATCTTTTTAACATCATCATTAGATTTCACATGTAATTCGATCAGATTATGAAAAGACCAAATATTGCTCTCTTCTGAAGTATTAGGAGCGGAGCATGAGGAGCTTCTACTTCCTACACCCGGGCATGAGATCTGCAAGGCCAAAAAAAGAGTGAATATTATATAAGACACCTTTTAAACAAAAAAAACATTTGGAATGTCTCATGATAACGAAATTGGAAGGATGATAGCTAAGAGTTTAATGATGATGGAAATGAACTCCATTTTCTTAAAGTGACTAGTTAGATATGGATAAAATGGATTCACTACAAGAATACTAAGCTATGCCGACGACATAAGTGGTCGCTACAGGTCATCCTATCCCGACGACACGTCGTCGCCATATCTTTTGGAACCTTTGACCAATTTCCTTTGACCGCGATATCTGTGTCGACGACTTGTCGTCTCCACAAGTCTGGCGGGAACGACGGAAATGTTCGCGGTAATCTGAAAATCTATACCGACGACATGTCGTCGGTATAGGTATAAAAAAATCCATTTTCCATTTATTTTTATTCCATGTGCCAGAAAAACAAAACGACGTAGTTTTGGGGAAGGCTATCCCAACGACAAGTCGTCGGCATAGGGGTTTACCCTAAAAAAGATACGCAGGCGTCCTTCATTTGCACACAGCGACGACTGTTCTTTCTTTTACACTATCTGTGACGAAAATTGCATCCCAACTCAAATCACCGGCGATTAACCCCATCCAAGGTTGTTTCTACCCCTCTTTCGTTTTTTATTGTTGTTTGGTAATGATTTTTACCACAAATTTGAGGTTTTTTGGTGTGTAGGGTAGTTAACCGGTGGTGAAGCACCACCGCCCATTTTCCTGCCTCAACCTTCCCACCGGCGAGTTGTTCGCCGGCGACCTCGTTCCAGCCACCAACGGACTTGTTCACTGGTCCGTTTTTCAACCTTGTTCATATTGTTTTTTTTCTGATTTTATATTGCTGCCTGTGGCCACCACCAGCCACCACCGGAGGATTACCAGCTTCTTTGACTAGAATTCGTTCATCACACAAGAACAAAACACAGGTTAGTTTTTTTTTTCCTAATTTTTATTGAAATTGAAATTATATGTATATATAGAATTGTGTTGAAATTGAAATTGATCCTCCTTTGATTATATAATTGTGTTGTTTGTTTGGTATATATATGTGATTGTGTTGTTGTTTGTTTAGGTTTATACTTTAAACAAACTAATAAAAGTACATTGCTATAGAATTGTTTTGCTTGGTTGGTATATATGTGTGATTGTGTTGTTTTTTTGATATATGTGTGATTGTTGTTTTTTGTTTGGAATATGTATATTGTTTGTTTAGGATGGTATGAAATTTTGTATGATTGTTTAGGTTGGTATGAAATTGATATTGTTTAGGTTGATATATGAAATTGAAATTGTTTAGGTTGGTATGAAATTTTATATGATCTTTGTTTAGGTTGGTATGAAATTTTGTATGATTGTGATCTTTGTTTAGGTTGGTATGAAATTTTATGTCTCCCTGTAAACTCTGTATAGTTGTGTTTAATTTGTTTAGTTATTCATAGCCACATCGGCAACTTCGGTTTAATTCCAAATGAATGACCTTCCACTTCAAAATCGTCCCAATCTCAACCCCAATCTCAATCCCAATTTGATGCACACACAAATGCACTACTTGCAACAATATAATGCATCATTGGTGGCATGTATTCCGGGCTTCCAACCACCACCATTACCTAACTTTCTATTCAACTCTAACACACAAGCAACTACCTCTCAACAAGTTGCCGAAAGGATGGAAGAAGAAGGAGAAGAAGAAGGAGAAGGGGAAGAAGGAGAAGAAGAAGAAGGATATGATTATGATAATGATGTTTGATGTTTTTTTAGTGTTTTGAACAATGTTAGTTAACTATTTGAATTTGATGTTTTGAATTTGAACAATGGTACTTAGTTAATGTATTTCAGTTGATATATGTTGGAATGTGTTTTGGATTTGTTAAAAATGCAGGAATGACAATGTACTAAATCTGTAAAATTGAAAAAAAACAAACAGTGCCTATCCCAACGACAAGTCGTCGCTATAGGTATGTCATTGGCTCCTGTTAAAACACTATAGCGACGACTTGTCATCGTAATAGACAAAGCCTGTGGCGACAACATGTCGTCGCTATAGGTTTACTGACGACAAGTCGTCGCTATAGGTAATTAATAAAACTTTATTTTTTATCCCCGAAAATATGATTGACAAAACCTATCCCGACGACTTGTCGTCGCCATAGGTGAAGCTATCGCGACGACATCTATACCGACGACACTATTGACCTATGCCGACACGGCTATGCCGACGACTCTATCCCGACGACTTGTCGTTGGCATACCCTATGCCGACGACATGTCGTCGGGATAGAGTTCGAATTCGTCGTCGCCATAGGGTGTTAATGTTGTAGTGATTCAAGCAACAACCTGTATAAACTTTTACATAAACTAGTATCAATGTCCGTGTTTGTTTAATAATGTGTTTAATTGGCATCATGATTTCTTAATCAGAAAAATAAATGTTAAACAGAGCAGAAAATTATACCTCCTGATGCTGCCCAGGTGTAGTATTAAACCAACTTCCAGGAGGACTATATTTGCCTAAATTTGTTTCCACATACTTAAGCTGTGGAGCTGTTGACCCACCAGCTGTGAACACCTTCATCTCTGGGCAATCATATATCACAACCTTTTCCAACGAAGGCCACTGGAACTCATGATTCGTCCCTAAAAAGAAACCCACCAGCTCACGTAGATTGAATAATTCAATACACTTTAGACGAGGAAACTTCACCACAGCCTTAGAAGAAGATGCGTTTTTTGTTTTCTCTACCCCAGGTTCTTCTGCCTTCACCACAATCACTTTCATTGCCTTGCAATTCTTTATCCTTAACTCTTCAAGTTGTACGAGGCTTTCAAGTGTGGAAATTTTGAATATGTGTTCCAGAAGGGCACAACTGTTGATATTCAATATCTTTAGGTTGGTCAGTTTCAACATAATAACACTTTTGTTGACCCCTTGAGTTTCAAACACCTCCTTCATCCCGTTGCAAAGCGTTATTTTCAGCACATGAAGCTTTTGTGTTTGTCCTGCTACATAGCATGGAATCACACTTGACAATGCATAACAACAACATATACTTATCTTTCTAGGGTATTGGGCTATTGGCATAAGCTCTAAGAAACACCATCCCCTTGAGAAAACTGCAGTAAATGAAAAAAAATAATTAATGTAAATTTATATTATATATTCTGGAAAGCTTAATTGTTTGTTACCCACAAATTCACCATGTTATATAAGAACGACCTGCTGGCCAATGATTTTGTATCAGCTTGGTTAATGCTGAGATGTTTTTGTATAAGACATATAATAGGAGGGCTTATATATTATTAGTTGTTGAGTATCAATAAAGTAAAACAAAACTAATATTAGCCATAAATTAAGTTGAAGATGTTTATTGACAGGTTGTGTTACTTGATAGAAATCTTAGTTTCATATTGTTGGAAATACATGAATAACTCGGAATCCAATTATGAGCTGTAAAATTTTCAATCTCTTGTGTGCAAATGAATGACACTTTTAATGCCTTCTAATCTAATAGTTGGATTTGTATATATAGCAGCTAATGAGTCAATTACATGCTCAAACTTTTTCACTATCTTGTCAGCGGTCTGTTAGATTTCTCTAAAATATGATTAGTGTCCATAGAATATTGCAAAGAAAAAGTGAATTTTAAAAAAGAAATGAAATAGGTAGCTGTATATTATGAAAACATACCTTATATTGATCAAGAGAGCAGGTACTTGTAGTGGTACTACTGAAATATATTTCATTGTTCCTGCCTTTGGCACCACCACCACCAATATACTTGAGACTTTTCAGGCCATCTAAAATGAGAGAATCAAGAAGAGGGAAGAGATAGGTGCTTGTGTGGGTAGATGTAGATGTAGTATGTTCTTCGTCTCTATCGTCTCTGTTTGAAACAAGTTCTTCAATACCATAACAACCCTCTATCTGGACTTTCTTTAGGTTGGAAAGAAGTTTTACCATGAGAGGTGAAAACAAGTACTTAATGCTTTTGCACTCTCTCATTTAATTCTATGGCTGTGAGGTTGTGGAATGGGGAATCTGACGGTTTTCTGTGAGGAATCAAGAACTCCTTCCAGTTGCACTTCCACACGTGACTCATCTTCCTCCATATATTTTATATACAATACCTCCAGGTGGGGAAGTATTCGTTGTTGATTATCCTGACTTGTTGGAGTACTCTTGATCTCAAATATCACCTCTACTCCTTGATTTCTCCCCAACTTAAGATTATGGAGATTACGAAACGAGTGTATGAGATAGGTTTGGTACAGAGTATTCTGCACAGATATCCCAACAAGAAATGTAATTAGTAACTTTAATAGTCAAGCTAAAGTCGAATTACCTCAATGCTTTGTTACTACACATCCATTCATAATTCCGTTCCTTACAAATACAGATTTGAGAAGGATTATTTTGATTTTAAGTATTCTTTCAAGGAGTATTTGGAAAGGATGCAAATAGTCAACAAATTAAGAACATTCTGATTTTTGTCCATAAAATAGTGAACTTCTGGTTATTTGATTGTGACCAGCTTCAACATGTTTTCGAATGAATACTTGCTCTTCATTTTTATTTTTTTGAAAAAGCTTTTATTTTTATGAAAAAGTTCTGAAAACTCTATTTCTAATAGATATTTATTGTTTTTTGAATAATCAATCATGAAAAGCTGCAATTGGTTCCTACCCAACAAAGAAAATTTGGGTGATCTAAGAAGAAAATGTGAAATTTTTTGGGTTGGTAATTTGCTTTGATAAGCAATGTTTATTAAATACAAACAGAAATGCATTAAACCATACCTCTTGCCCTTGGTTACATTCCACCAATCCATATTTTCTCCCAATTACATCTGAACCATATAGTTTCATGTAGGTAAGTTCCCCGAGATCAAAATTGGTGGTGGTAGGTGAGAATACATTTCTAAATCTCTTACAAGTCTCGATACTTATGCTTTCAACAACTTCAAAGCCACGGATAGGGAGACGAGAGTGATTTGCACCTTTTATCATCCACACCTCTTGTAGCTCCCATACTTCTCTTAGTTCAGTGTTTCTCAAGCTGCTGCTGGCAATCTCACCAACACTATCCAAGTCGATGTTGAATATGACTTCAATGAAAAAACAATCCCTGACTTTAACTTCTTCAAGATGACATAACAATGGCATGGGATTGCATGGAAATAGATTCACAAGATTATGACAACGGATCACCTATATCTCTCTCAACTTAAATTCCTCACTCGTCCTAAAGTCACAAGGCCATATGTCCTTCAAATTATCCATACCCTCAATGTGCGGACGCTCCAACTTAGGAATCAAAACCTGAAAAATATTATAGCCGCTTACAAACTAGACATCATGCAATCAAGTTACAAATATTATTTTATAATATTTCACCAGCTATTAAACATAAAACAGAATGTGAATGCAACCTCTTTTGAAACTTCTAATAGAAAAGATTGTTTGAATTGTATCAACATAAAACATATTTAGCTCTTCCCTTAACAAGCAAGATGTTTCCGACTTGTTCTTGGAATAAATGCTTGTGACATTTGGAATGCCTCCAATTTTTAACTCCATGAGTTGTTGTAGTGCAATTATGTTGACATTCTGTCACAAACCCGATAGGTTTGGCAGCCCACTCAAATATAGAATCTTCAACTTGGGGAATGTCACTCTCTCTTCCCCACCACTATCAAGATGCATGAGTTCTTTCATAACAAGACAATTGAAAACCTCAAGATGCTCAAGATTTGACATAGCTTTTGCAACATGGAGTGTGAAAAGGTACTTCAATGTTGCACATTCCGAAACATTAAGAATTCTTAAATTGCGGAATGAAGACGACGGTGGACGAAGTGAGGACTTCACCCCAACTTCTTCAAGATCATTTATATCATCCACACCTAAACAAAGCACCACCGTTTTCTCAAACAAATCGTTAATTCTAGATCCCGATACTTCACCTTTCTTCATTACCAACTTCAGCATGTTTTCGAGTGAATGCTTGCTCTCCATTAAATATTCTCCTTTTAAAGAACGTCCCACTGAGATCTTCGTTCAAGATTCTTAAATGAAAGATTCTTTGGTTGAGCATTGTTTTCATGGAACTCAAATTCTAAGGCAGAAAGGTTCTTCCACCGTTCTTCCACATCACCGCAGCTATCACCTGTGAAGCTAATAGCCCCTCTAAAAGCCTATAGCTCTTCAAGTCTGACCAAAATTTTAAAGACACCATTATCTATACGAAGACCATTGCAACCTGTCACATCCAGTACCCGTAGCTTTTTCAGATTTTTGAATGTTGAAGGCATCCTATCAATGCCATAACTACTACCAACAACACCAGAACTAGCAAAGCTGAGCACTTCAAGATTCAACATGTTTGCAATAGAAGATAAATTAGATTCCAATGAGGATTGATGGAGACGAAGCACTCGAAGCTTGGTGGAGAACTGAGGTGATGAGAAAAGCAATGGATACTTCATATGATCAAATGATATAACCTGAAGCTTTCACATTTCTTCATAAAAGTTCTGAGGAAACCTCAAAGACCGATCTCCATGCATAAGCTTCAGAATCGAGAGGTTTGGAAACTTGAGGTCACTAGGAAACTCAGTCATACCTTTTCATGTTAATGAGATTCTTTTGCAAGAGGTCCTGATTACATCATTTTCAGTTTCAGACCACCCTGGGTTACTACTACCATGGTTGACGATCGAAGCATGATCGACTTTAGAAAACATATCCAAAACAAAAGAACAACCGTGCAACATGACGCACCCAACTTTCTCACTTTCGATCAAAAAAATTGGTATGTATGAGCCGCTCAATGCAGGCGTTCAGCTGGTATCTTGCTTCTCTTATAGTACCCACTCCCTTGAATAATTTTAAGCCCCATCCATACTTCAGTAAGTCTTCAGTAGGAATATCGAAGTCCTCCGGAAATAAACCACAGAGCAAAAAGGTATCTCCAGTCATCTTGTAGTGGAGATTTTCATAGCTGGTTTTAAAAACATCACCAACAACCGTCTTAATGTCATGGTTCTCTAAACGACAAAGTGCACTCTTCCATGTGTCCTTGCTTTTACTTCTAAGACTGCAGGCCATGGTTTTAATGGCAATGGGCAGACCGCAACACTTCCTTGCAATTTTCTTCTCCAATCTTATGGAGCTCGGGATCAACATCATCAAAAAGTTCTAAAAATCCGAGGAACAAATTGCGTGCTTCTGCTTCCTCCAGGACAGACACCTTGAGAACTGAATCAGCTTTAACTCCCATCTCAGTGCAAACTGCTTGGTCATGTGATGTAATCAAGACCCTGAAATGACACCTTGATTTGGCAAACGACTTAAGCCAATATCTTCCATATCAACCGGTTGCCATACATCGTCCAGTATTACCAGGAACTTATTCTTTCCTCCATCTGAATTGTCTGCAAACCATTTACGGAGCTTATCAGTTCTTGCTGGTTTGGTGGTTTCGCTTAGATTTATACCATGGTACTGTGCAACAGCTTGCTGAATAGCAATGGGGTCAGTCTTTTCCCCTATAACCACCTCAACATAACTATTAAACATTTTCTTTACTATCATAACCTCTTTCAGCTTCTTCATCATTGTAGTCTTTCCGACTCCATCCATCCCCCATAAGGCTACCATGTGGGAACTATGGTTGGGTCTAAGTGCTTTCAGTGCTTCCGTAAAAGTATGCCCTCTTGATTGGAAGTCATTGTGATCACGTAGTGGTGTAGATGTGCATGAAATGGTGGAATCAATTCTCCCCAGAGGAATTTTTTCAGCCGCCGCTACCGGCTCCGACCACCTAGCACCGTCGAACGACCCTTACACCGGCAATAATGAAGACCGATGGAAACCGGGAAAGGGCGCCGCATCAGTTGAAGACTGGAGAAGGACTTGACGTCGTGGGTGCCGCCGATTCATGACTTTCTAGCCGCCGGGTACCGTGTTGCACCGCCCCATCGCCACTTTCATCCGTCATTCCAGTCGAGAACGCATCCGCCGAGCTCCGTCGTTACTGTGACGCTACTGCTGAAGGCCAAGGCTGTCACGGGACATCATGGCAGTGGATGACCGGAGGAAACTCGTTAGTGGTCTTCGTTACGGTCGTTTCCGGTGGGAGTTGCCCACCCTCTTCGCCTCTCTTTTCTGTTGCATCGCCGCTGCCACTTCCATGGCAGTTCCACCGCCATCTTCTGCCGCTGTAGTCGCTCTTCACCTCTTCTTCTGTCCCGTTGTCAGCCACGACCCGCCGCCGCCGCCTCTGCAGTTCCCTGCTTCTCCGGTCACCGTTTACCACCCCGAAGGGCTGCCGTGTTCGTGTTTCACGTGAGTACGAGTGTGTTGCTGCCTCAAGTTCATGTGGTGTGTGTGTTATTTCGTGTATGTGGTGTTGGTTTGGCCGGAATTCACGAGAACAGCTACCATCACCACCGTGAGATGGTGGCTGCCACCATGTACCACTACCGGCCACCACAAGGGTGGTTGTGTGTGTGTGTGTTATTGGGATTTGTGTTGTAAATTGTAATCGGTGCTAGTATAATCAAAAGAAAACTCTTAACCACCACCCGTGAGGTGGTGGCTACCACCTTCTGCCGCCACCAGCCGCCGTGTTGGGTGGCGGTGTGCCCTTGCTTGTGTTAAGATTTTGTTTGGGGATGTTTGGACATAAATAGACTAGGACCATAACTACCACCGTGAGGTGGTGGCCGCCGCCGTTGACCACCACTACCCGAGGTGCTAGTCGGTGGTGCCCGACTTATGAAACCCTAGTGGGACCAATGAAACCCTAATTGATCTAAGATTTAGCTTTTGGGCCTAATTGGGTTGTGATTGGGTTGGAAACCCTAATTAGGGTTTAGAAAACCCTAATTTTGGAATTATTGGTTTGGAGTGTCGGGACCCGCATTTTGGGCCATTAGAATGGAACTGTGAATTACATCCAATCACACCATATGATTTATCTAGTAGAGTGATGGACTTAATGGATTAAGTCCTTAATGGGTTAAGTAAGAAACACTTAACCCTATTCGTCATTTTATGTAAAAACCCTAATCTTGCTTGGGCCTTAAGTTGGGCCTTTCTATTGGGCTTTGGTGATTAGGCTAATAATAGGCCATCCAAGAACAATCATTTGGACTAGAATAATTGGATGGGCTTTAGGGTAAGGCCCATGAGAAGGTTTGGGCCCAATTTGGAAAATTGGGCCATAATTGGGCCTTTATGATCATGAGATATCGGGCCATTAGAATGATAAAATTTGGACTAGAATAAATGGTTGGGCCTTAGTATATGACCATGTAAAGGTTTGGGCCCAATTTAAAAAATTGGGCCATATGTTGGGCTTTGATTCATATTTTGGAATTTTGGGCCTTTGGATTGGGCCTTGAGTTTGAATCAAGGTAAGATGGTAAAGTAGTCTTTTACCCCAAGCATGGACTTATGGATATGTATTGGAACCCAATTGCTGATTGGGTGTTATTTTGATGATTGACAATTCGAGAACCTGTAATCCAACATCTAGAGTTTTGTCTACTGGACTTCAGCAGTGCGAGGTGAGTTACCTTCCAATAGAAGTGGGTCTAAGGCACCAAGTCCGGCCCACTAGTAAGAGTTATAGTAGAGATGATTGTCTTTGTGATAATTATCTGGTATGTCGCTATCTGTTATGTTTATGTGCTAGTATGCTTTGATGTTATGTGATATGTGATAAGAGGGGTAGGATAGACCCCAGTACCGGTCGATAGGGCCGAAGGGGTATGCCAGCACCCGGATAAGCTAGGCAGTATATGACTTATATGTTTATGCACTAGGATGCTATGTGGTAGAGCAGGGGTGAAATAGTCCCCGATACCGTTCGAAAGGACCAAAGGGGTAGGCCATCACCCTGATATGTTAGGCGAGGTACAGGTCGACAGGGCTGAAGGGGTAGGCTAGCACCCTAGTATGCTAGGCAAGTTACCGGTCGACAGGACTGAAAGGGGTAGGCCAGCACCCTGATATGCTAGGCAAGCTACCGGTTGAAAGAGACCGAAGGGGTAGCTAGTACTCGGATATGTTATACAATATGTGTTATGTATGGTATGTGGTATGATGGGGGAACTCACTAAGCTTCGTGCTTACAGTTTACAGTTTTGGTTTCAGGTACTTCGTTTTCAAAGGAAAGGAGTCGACTCGATCGCATCGCATCACACTATGTTTCCGCACATGAGATCTTTGGGATTACACTCTGATATTGTTTAAGTTAACATGTTTTGCTTATTGACACTTTGGTTTTGACATGGGATGTTATCATGGATGTTTCTATACTAATTGGTTTTATAATAACTTAATTAAAAATGAAATTTTTGGTCTTGAATTTTGGGATGTTACAAGTTGGTATCAGAGCCTTGGTTTGAGGGATTCGGGCACACTCTCGGGTGTGTCTGGACTCAAACTGAGGACTTGGTATGAAAATTTTCAAAAGAAACTCATTTTTATAAAAATATTTTGAAAAATAAATTGAAAAGGGAAAAGAACTTAGAAAAGAACAAGGTGTGTGATGCGTGCAATCAGCCGAGCTCAAGTAAGCTTTCCCCAAGATACCCATACATGTTATGTTATGATATGAATTGAGAATATGTGAACTGAATGCTAGATTAGGGCTAAGGATCTAGGAAGGATGCCTTAGATGCCTATTATATGTGCTTGTAGACCTGCATGCTAGTACCGATCAGTCAGTGATAAGATGGCATGTTTAGGTTATGCCTGATTGTATGAGCTTTAGAATCTCATGCCATTACAGATTCCTGATTAGAGGATAGGTTGGGTTTGATTGGAGTATGTTGGCTAGATTTTTCATTGTCTGAATGTTGCTTGCTTTGTGCTTTGTGGGACTATTAGTGATGTGAGTTAGCTACTAAGTGAATATGCTAAGTCACATGGAACACAGGCCGGATAATCTCAGAGTGATGGACTTGACCCTATTGCGCAACTCTCTTTTGAGTCTAACCATTCTAGGGATAAGTCTTTTACTCGAAGGATTATCTGATCCTTGTTGTATGTGACTATATTCATAAGGTAGCTAGTTGACATTACTGGGAATCTTTCAACAGCTGAGGATTGGGTGGGTTCAGGAACCTAGGAAATCATAGGATATGTTTCAGTGGGTTAGTAGTGAGGCTTAGTGAGACTTGGGTGCATCAGTTTGACGAAGTGACTTGGAGGATTTGGGACGATTGCTGATGAAAGTATGGATAGGCGTGGAAGGTAGTATTGGGCCTGTACTACTGAAAGCACAGGATCCATACTCGAATCGGTGAGAGTCTTGGAGAATCTGAGAAGCTTCGGGGAGGAGTTTGTGACCCGGTTTGGGGGCAGAGGATGTTCCAGCTGTTGCAGCTCAACCATTGGCAAGTGAGCTAGTGAGTGTGACAGGGTGTCAGACCTTGAAGGATATGACTTCCAAGAGTTTGCAGATGCGAGATCGATTTGGAGCACCCTGGGAAGAGAGGGTCATGCCAAGTGTGTATAGTACAGGGTCCTGGGAAGAGACCTAATACTTCTGATCATCGGGTGAAAGGCCAGCAAGGCCGGAGTCAGTGCAACACGTGTGGGAAAGTACAGAAGGGAGTTTGACATTCTGGGGGTTTGGTCTGCTACAAGTGTAGCTGTAACGACCCAATTTTTACAAAGAAAAATTTTCATTTTTGAATAATTAAACACATTTCCAATATCAAGAAATCCAGTTATAATTGTTTTCAAAACATAATTCAAATACAACTTTTATTCCAAATATCATAGTGTCCCACAAATGCCCAAGAGAGTGCACGCCACTCCATCAAGATTTGCCCTTGCCCTTGGGCTCCGATGTACCTGAAACAAATCCACAAACTGTAAGCTAATGCTTAGTGAGTTCCCCAGAGCATACCCCAAGAACAAGTCACATAGCACATATCATAAGGACTATAAAGACTACCTCTACCACATACCACATAACATCTTAGCTATAAAGCTATCTCTACCATTAGCCATAAAGGCTATCTCTACCGTTAGCTGTAAAAGCTATCTCTACCATTAGCCATAAAGGCTATCTCTACCGTTAGCTATAGAGCTATCTCTACCATAGCCATAAAGGCTATCTCTACCACATATTACAACAAAATCATGCCACACACCTCTACACAACGAATATACCAACTAGTATGAAATGGTCCGGCCTTGGTGCCTTAGACCCATTGGTATGGTAAGAAGAATCACCTCTGGAATGATGAACTGGTAAGCTGAATTCAGATATGTCCCACGCTGCCTCTTCTCAACTGCCTATAATCATCAAGTGTTTAGCTTAACACCTTTCAATAAATTCCCTCAGAGTCAACCCTGGTCAAGGTCAACTGTCAAGGTCAACAGTCCATGTTGATCTCAACTCGTCGAGTACAACCAGCCACTCGTCGAGTTCCTTGCATAACTCGTCAACTCGTCGAGTCACTTGAGTGACTCATCGAGTCCCATAATGTTTGCGGTTTCAAACCCTCAACCGCAAACCCCTGGCCGTAAACTCTTTGGCCGTACATTCCTTGGCCGTAAACTCTTTGGCCGACTCGTCGAATCGATTAAAGGACTCTGCGAGTCCCTTTACTCCTTCTCGTTTTCGGCCTTTTCCA